AGAGGCGCCTGGCTCCCCGGAGGTGGATCCCCGCCGCGCGAGGAGGGGGCTCCCCGGGCAGATCCGACGCTGTTGCTGGGGGAGGGGTGCGCGCGCGGCCGGCGGGGGGGGGCAGCTTCTTTTTGGGAAGCGGCAGACACGGCCATCGCTGGCATTGAGCCCCTTTGAGGGGAGGGCTGCCGCCTAAGGATGCTTCTGCGGCAGGGCTTTCTGGCGCATCGCCCGGCGCTCTTCGCAGCGTTTTATTCTCTCCCTTTTACCGGTTATTCTCCCTTTTTTTCCCACCTGCGTCCAGCCTGTTTGCATAGAAATCTCGGAAAGGAAACGAGGGGGCGGCTGCCTTGGATTTCTGAAATGACAGAGTGGGAGGCTGCAGTTGGGAAGCCCTCTAAGATAGCCAGCCCCACACCCCACACTTCAGCGACAATGGCGGGGAGATTTCCGCACTGCGGTGCTCCCAGGCAGACTTGCATTGTGCAGCCTGCCTGCCTCAGCTACGAAGCTGTTGCGGGGTTCGGATGTCACTCATTTAAATCTCTCTGAGTTTCCCCACCAATTCTTCCCTCTTGTCACTGGAGAAGCCTCCATTGCGCTTTCAGCTGATAGGCTGGGAGCCCACTCCCAGGCCCGCTTAGCAGTCTCCCTGCGGTCTTTGATGGCAGAGGAAAAAACCCACTTAGAATTAGACCAGAGTTTTCCTCATATTTAAATAATGAAATAAGGCCCTCTGAATTAACCATCACTTAAATCTGAGTCAAGCTTTGGGAAGCTAAGTTCCCTCTGAATGAGAAGCTCACAATCTCTGTGCCAAAGAGAAGCGGGCAAGAGTAAAGCTGTGCTAGTGCTGCCTGTTTGTACAACCTAACAATGGCATACCCTGACATGAAGTGGCATCTAACCGTCCTCTCTGGCCCTCTGAGACTTTGGCCCAGCCCCGATGCCTTTGCCAAGAAGGAAGAACCGCCTGTTTGCCTGCCGTGCCTGGAGATGGTGTTTCCGGGCTTCAGTTTGGCTATGCCCATCCCTGGCACCAGCTTTCCTGAGCTGAAGGAGGGCTCAGGGCAAAAAGGATCCAGTCTTCGTTTTGAACTGAACTATTGGTTACATAGCGTTACTCACTCACATTTTCTGAATAAGGGTACTATACTGTCTCTTAAAGATCAGTGCTGTTTCCAAAAGCACTGGGCATAATTCAGTGTACAGTACAATCTTATATATGTCTACACAAAAGTGAGACCCACTGAGTTCCATGGGGCTTCCTTCCAGATACTGGCTGGGGAATTCTGGGAGTTGAAGTCAACACATCTTAAAGTTGCCACATCTGAAACGTTGATGTAAAGGATTGCAGCCCTGATTAATTCAAATTTAAATTCCCTTCACATATAATATCTTAAATTTTCCCCAGTGTTGTAAAAACAAAGCCTAAAGAAAACATTTCTGATTTTCCATCTGCAAATAATTCTGTCTCTTGCTTTGGATGGAAATAGTTTTAACTATAGTTTTAACTATAGTTGAGGGATTAATGCTTGTTTTCTTCCTCTTCCAAGCCAGCCTGATGAGAGTCCTTGATGCCATCTAACTTTTTTTTTTTTTTGCTTGATAGGACCAATAGTAATTTTTGCAACTCTTGTCAATGCTTAGCATTAAGGGATGATGTGAGAAGAGGCATTCTTCTTTCTCATATGACAGGATTCTTCTAGTGTCAGCTGTTCATAAGCAAGTCAATTTAATTTTTTAAAAAATCACTCTTCTCAGTGGTTTTTAGAGTGGCATATCAATGATAAGAATAAAAATAATAAAGAAATATAGTAGACTGAGATTTCTCTAGCCGGGTGATAAAAGGTGAAATCTTCTTTGGCTGGAGCTCAGCTCCTGGTAACTTCATGGGCACATCTGTGGCGTTTTCTTGGCAATAATAAGATGGCAGTTTGTCACTGCTTTCTTTGAGTTGTTTTTCTCCTTCCTTGTCTGGCTTGATTGATTCTAATTATGTGCCATCAGGTCGGTATAAGCTCTTAGCAGACACATAGCTAGACCTTCTCCAGGATGATCTGTTTGCATCCTGGCCCTTCAGATCTTCCAGCTGTATAACTATCACTGCTATACATGAATCCATCCACCTTGGTGCTGGCAATCCTCAGTCCTGGAAGTCGTGGCCAGACCCAGTTTAACTTGTGGAGATTGACTAAGCCTGGTAGATACTATTACATAGCTGGGCAGCCAGTAATCGTCCTAGTTAAATTAGGGGAAGGCTGATGTATATTGCTGAGGATATACCATTTGGATTACTGTTTTCTTTGCTGCAACATGCATGCAATCTTAATGAACAAAACTGCCGTCTGGCCCAGAAGAAAATTGTATTGATTTCAGTGGGATTTGCTTCTGGATTTCTAAGTTAGTCTACATAATATTCAGCCTCAGTTTCTTTATACCTCAGATTTGATTTGTGCTATGCCTTTTAAGGAGCAAACCTATAATTAAAATATTGTATTTGGGGCTTGTGGAGTATTAGCTGCTACAGATTTATGCTGTATACAGACATTCTCCATACATATCCTGAAGACCTGCATTGTCCAGAACTCTTGGTACAAGAGTACAATAATTATTCATTTGAAAACCTGCATCATACCTTCTAGTGCATATATACACCAAATTAATTAATTGCATGGGGAAGATAAGTGGAATCTGTTGCTGACTCCATTCATGACATAACTTCAATACTGAGCTGAGGAACATAGGCATCTCTGCCTGCCTGCTCAAATTCTTATCCTATGGAGCATTAGTTGCAATTACAGTTAGATATCTAGCAAACTGTATAAATTATAATTACAAATAGTAGCTTCCAGACATGTATTTAATGGGTTGCCATCACTGTCTATAATCATACCATATGAGATGCAAGCATTCCATTGCCTCCTAGGCATGAATGGACCAACTTTCAAGAATTTAAATGAAGAATCTAGAAAAGAGGAAGATGTTATTGGTTTTTCGTCAAGACAGCACTTTGTGTGTAATTTTGGTTGTTTTCTTTATTTGCCAGATTACTCCAGAGTTTTCTACCATGCCTGCCTTTGCTCACATTACCCAGAATGGGGTAGCTCATTCAGAAAAAGTCCATCCTGCTTATGAGCACGTGGGGTCAGGAAGAGAGACGATAGATGACATGTTTGACGACACTTATCGTGAGAAAGAGGGTCCCAAGCCTGCAACAAGATACGTCTGGAGGAACATTATCCTCATGTTTCTTCTCCATTCAGCTGCACTGTATGCCATCGGATTCATACCTTCTGCAAAACCACTCACTTTGGTGTGGGGTAAGCCAAAACTGTCCTCATTTACCTTGGAAGGGAGGGTTTGCTTATTTGCCTTTGCAGCAAGGGCTTCTGCTGTTTTCAGTTAGTTTCTTTCCTCCCCTCCAAGTTCTCAACATCTTCCTGATAGCCACAGGGAGGGTCATAGCCATTTGAACTCAGAAACAGGCTGTTCTGGGCAGCCACATGAATGCTTTATGAGTTCAAAAAACATACCCAGCACTGTAAGAAATATTCAGTGCTTCAAAAGGTCATTGGATTTTGCTACCTGCAGGAGAACTAGGGCTACCATGCAGTATTTAAGGCTGAGACCTTGAAGAAAGGCTGCTGGTCAATATGGACCACAGCATAGACTGCTGTTTCCCATACTCCTTGGAGATAATGCAGTTCATCAACATCTGGAGGCCCTAAGCATAGTCAACAAGCAATCAGATGAATCCAGTGACTTGATTGAGCATAAAGAATTTCCTTCAGGATTCACTGCAGAAAGCAGACACTTCAGAAGACAGTACTCGAGGATAGTGCTGGAAAATATCCAGCATCCTTCCTAGGGTAGCAAAGGTAGTTTCCCAGATATAAACCATTTCTAAGTTCTTCAGAAGGCAATCAGTAAAATAAAGGTGCATGTATTTGAGATTATGCCTTCTAAGAATCATTTTTGAAAATCTGCTCCCTAAAATGTCTTAATAGGTAAGTGTTTCTTCCATGTTTTATGAAGTTGCATTGGTTGAGGGAAAGTGTAATAAGACTGAAGACTTGCTGTCCATGATGTTGCTCATCTCCACTTAGAGCAGTGTTTCTCAACCTTAGCATCTTTAAGATATCTGGACTTCATCTCCCATGGCTGGCTGGGGAATTCTGGGAGTTGAAGTCCAGATAACTTAAAGTTGCTACGGTTGAGAAACACTGTCTTAGAGCTTTGTGCTCCATGTTTTCAGAGGGAAGCTTTTAAATAGCTTGAAGTTGCATGGAGGTTGTCTAAAATGCAACTATGGTATTTCCCACTAGTGAGATGTGCAGTCTCCTAAGAGTCTGGAGAGTGGGTGGCATACAAATATTTGTATAAATAAATACATAACTAAATACGTAGATGGTTATAATGTATACATTTTTCATTATGTATATAGCATTTTAACACACTGTGTAACATGCTCTAGGAAATTAACAAAAACAAACAGGCAAACAGTAAACATTGCTAGTAATGCAAATTAATTAATTCAGATTGAAAAGGGTTAGCTAATGAGGGAATGTCTTGGCTCTTTGTCTAAAAGCAGAATGAGAGGGGGGCATGAGGGCATCTCCCGAGGGAGCCCAGTCCAGATGGAAGAGGTATGAACATCCACTTGAAATGAGATGGAGTTGAAGAAAATCTTCTGGGGCTTTTTGCTCCCCCCACCCCCACTTTTTCATTATATCCACTGAAGATCAAAGTATACGGAGGGTGGCGTGGGTGCGCTAGAGAGGAGGAGTGAACAGCACATGAACAAATGCCAGAAATTCCCTCTAGGTAAATGTTTGAACAATTGCACAAAACCTGTTCAAACTGAGAAGTGAATTTATTTGAGAAGCAGAAATTAAAACAGTCATAATGGTATAGAATATCTTAATTACAGCCCTCTTTGACTCTAATTAGCATTCTAAATACTGGGCTAGATAGCCAAAGCTGCATCTCAGCCTATCTATTTTCACCTTTATAATTTTTTTTTATCACTGGCAAGAACAATTGAGCTATCAATTAAGGTTTGTTTTTTTTTTTTTTTTTTTTTTTTTTTGCTGTTCCAAGTCTGAGCTGTGTTGACATGCACTAGAAACAGGCAGCAGAGACCCATAGACATAACTGCATCCAAATGGCTCTGTGCTTAGAACATTTGAACACTGAACATTTTTGATCAAGAGGTGATCCAGATGGCCAGCAGCTTGGCACTGTTATTTCTTTGCCTGAGATCCACATGGACCAAGAAATATCCTTAAGAAGTAAAAATAAGTGGTCAAAGCTGGCATATTCCATGACCTGGTAAAAGTAAAGTTTAGGAGAAGGCAGCTACATTGAGGAAATAGGCAGAGAAATGGAAGAGGCGAAAGAGGAAGAGGCTACATTTTGGGGGTGTCTTAAGGAACAGGGGGAAAGGGGGGGAATGGCAGAACCAGAGGGCATCAAACTTACCTGGCAGAGAAACAACAGAGCAGGAGTGGAATGCAGAGACTGGCAGCCACTGCAAGGGTGGGGGGGGGGGGCAAAGCATGCCGTGTTTTCAGTGTGTGCACGGAATAGTCAGGCAGGCACATCAGGATGAACATTGAAGAGAAAGGATGGATTGGAGGGAATGGCCCTTGCCTGTTGGAGGAAGAGGGAGATCCTGAACAAGAGAGAAATCAGGTTCTACAAGTGTATCTTTGCTTTAGGTTTTAGACCTCAACTCAGCCTTCTAAACAGGTTCCTGGGCAGCTGGCTTGTCCTTTACTCTCATTTTCCTCAAAAACAGGAGTATTGCTATTGGCTGTGCCCACCATAGCAAGCATGCCATCTATGGACTTCCCCTGAGACTTATTTAAATTTGCAAAACATCTGTGCCCCCAAAAGATGGGTGATTCTCTGTTCCACTCCCCCTGATATCTTCATCAGGGTCTAGTACTACAGTGACCATATATTCTTGGAAAAAATAAAGGACAAACTGGAAAAAGGGACAAATCTGAAAGAGGTTTATAAGGATATCAAAAATTAATTGTTTGTTTCTAACTTCGCTTTACAGGATAAATTAAGAGTAAAACCAAGAAAATAAATAATTAAATAAATCTAAACAGCCTTCTGAAATAAAGGACTGCCCTTTATAATAAAGGATGTATGGTCACTGTAGCTAGTACTCACAACTATGAATGAACATCCATTCTCTCTTCCCCCACTACAACAGCTGACCATTTCACCACTTGATACAAAGTACAAAATAGGGTTTGACTATGAAAACATACCACAAGATCTGGGGAACATTTGAAAATTCAGTACAAATTGCTGGGAGGGAATTATGGCCAGTATGTTCAGAATGGAATTTAAGGCAACAATTTTCTACTTAAAGGTTGCCTTCTAAGATACAGGCAGGCAATCAGCTGCAGAGAGATAATTCAAGGTTTGGGAATGATAGCCCAATCACATGTTCCTCTTTTTATTTCCCATTAATTAATTTATTTATGTGGCTTAGTGCTGGTTTTCCCCTAATGGAAGCAGAAGTTGAGTCCTTGCAAAGGCCTTTTGTTCCAAATAAGATCCCAGTTCTAAGTCAATTTGGTCATTTCCCTGAGAAGATGTATTGCAAGAATGACTTCTGGTTCATGTTCACAGTGCCATTCTTATATAGATTGTCTTGTCAAATGGGAAGATATATAGCTTCCCAGTTGTATTATTTCCATTTCTCAGGAATGAATCTGAGAACACTGTGGGAGGCTAGCTCTGGGAATATCCTGTGTAGTCATTGCTGGAAATAATGGAAAGCAAAACGTCTTCTCCTGGAAGAGCTTTGAAAGGCAACCAAAAATTGGCCATCATCAGTTTAGGTGTGTCTCCATATTATTCACATCTATATGCAGTCCGCTTCTGCTTTTGAGAATAATGAGGTGATGGAAGGGTAATCTAGTCAGGGAACCTTTGTTTTGAAATGGGAGAGCTGGCCACGCACTATTTTGCTTTTGAGTATCTCTCATGTAGTTATTCAGCTACTTTCTTGATGGCGATCCCAAAGGAACAATTGTGTGTGAATATAGCCCAGATTTCTACTCTTCCTCTCAGCCCCAGGTGTATAAATGGCACATTTGTTATAGTGATTTCAGCACTATGATAGTTGACAGATGTTCTCAGACTATAGTGTTTCTCAACATAACTAAAGCGCAATTTGGAGAAGTATCAAAATCTGTATGAAGAAATATCTGGGTTCAGAATATTCTCCATTTATGAAAGCTCCACCGCATGATTTGTAACAACACCTGTTTGTGGAACACTTCCCCAGCCCACACTGAATGCTTTTAAATAGTCATGGGAAATTGCATGTTGTTGGCCATATCACCATCTTGGTTTTGTTCTTTATTTTTCTTGTTCTTATTTTTCTTGTTCTTTATTTTGTTTTTTGTTATTCATATTGTATTTTATTTTTTGTTATATTGTGAGCTGCCCAGAGTTGCTTAATAAATTAAAAATACATTATTTTGGCAGTTGTTCATGGTTTATTTTCTTCAGAATGCTTTTTCTTCTTCTGCTGTTGTTAGTTTAATACTTTGGTTATAATTTCTTACTGTTTAAGATACTTTAAATCATTTTCAATGTTTATTTTCCTGACAAAAATTGAATATGCATTTTCTTATAAATAAAAAAGGAAAATGCTTTGGTTGCCAGTTGAATGAACTGGACAACTACCTTAGCTAGACAAAGTTTATAAACCACTAGCCTTAGGGTTATTTCTTTCCTAGGACTTGCAAAACTAGAGCAGTCTGTGCTTGCTTATACAGTATATATGGACATATCTTAGAACTGCTGATGACCCCCCCCTTTTCCAAATCTATTTGTTCTTCACAACAGTTTTTTTGTGGGGGTGGGTTGGGATAAAATCTTGCAAAAACTTCCAAACAATATGTGTTTTCAGTTTGTAGACAATAGGTATTGCTGGGTCAATAGCTTCTTTTGGCAACAGGAAGCTTTGGAATTTGGCTTTTAAAATTACTCAATTCAGTATTCAGATGTTGTAATTGGAGCAAACTGCTAATTAAGCATCTCTTTAAAAATTACCTAATTTGTGCTTCAACATTACTCATTGAATATTGTGATTGAAGGTGTTGGTGAGAGGCTGGAAAAAAGTGTAACCTTGGGAGGTTGTGCTGGAAAGGAACACCAGTAGTAATGGTATTTGTTCTTGATTATAGTATTCCCTGTTTCTCTTTTTTTCTTGACTGAACCTTTTTGCTTGTTTTCAAACCAATGGAACTAATGGAATATTTAGGGTCACAATAAATAGATGCAGCTGAAATCCAGTGCTCAAATTTGCATGCACATTTGCTCAGTGCTTCCCAAAAGTAGTAATGTCAGATGAAGGCTTTCTTGACTGGCATCTGCCCTTTGGGTAGCAATATGAGGATTGTCCTGAATTCTATTTCCAGCTCTTCCTATTAATGAATCACTGGCACTCAGTTCTCCTCCAGGATATTAACAAATCAGTTACCCAAGCCTTGAGAGGTTTTCCCCTTTCCAAGTGGTCATGAGTAGAGGAGAGCTGTGATGTGTGAAAGAAGGATCACCAAACTCCAGTTCCTACAGCAGTTAAAATAATGTAGCATCCATTTTTAGCATCCATTTAAGTATGCAGTATTCATCTGCCTGAAAGGATTCTCCAGATGGTGAGCTCAGATCCTAGCCTGTCTGCATCTTAGCTTCTGCAGGACTATTCCACAAGTCCTGGATTGAAGGCCTCACATGGTTTCCAGACCAAACTTAGTGAGTAAGGAGATGCAGTAAACTTGTCAGGATCCAGATACTTCCACCCCTCTTTTTGCTGAGTTGGATAGATAAGATGCCTTATTAGACAACCCCCCCCCCCACCTGACTGGATTGAAGTGATATATGCAAGAGCAGAATCTGAATCCTATTAAGGAGTTACTGGGGATAATGTTTTATAATTTTGTCTTTGGCATGAGTCCTTACTTTGCAGGAGTTAGCATGATGATCAGGATGTTTGAAATGTGGTTTGGAATTAGATAATTAATCACTTGTGATATCAACAGCAACACTAAGTCATATAGCCCATGATAGTCATACAGTTAAAGTTCTAGAGTTCCATAGATAATGGAATTATTTTTGGACATCTGTGATGCTTCATAATAGATGACATCTGATTCCTACACAAGGAATATGCAAGCCTTATGCATTAGTTGTGCAATTTAGTAGTGAAAGTGAATCTGGAAAAAACTAGTCAACCATGAACCAGAGTGGATAGTTTCCAAGTCACATTGTTAGCTGAACAGAAAGCCGTCTTCCATCTGAAGTTTATCTTTTCTAAATCTTAAAAGAGTATTTTTTTTTAACTGGGCTTTTTTGGGGTGACGGGGCTACACCTGGGTGATACTGTCAGTTCTATCCTCTTGACAGGTTTTTTTCCTCCCCTTTCTCATCTACAGCTGTTTTGTGTTTCATCCTGGGTGGTCTTGGAGTTACAGCTGGAGCACATCGGCTTTGGAGTCACCGGTCTTACAAAGCTACCTTGCCTCTCCGAATATTCTTGGCCATAGTCAACTCCATGGCTTTCCAGGTAGGAAGGGGTTTCAAAAACAATAGGAAATAGGGCAGTTTGGCCTGGGAATTCCATACAGAACTTGGCATCTCATGCAGAATGTGAAAACTTCCCCTGTCATTTTTATCAAAAAGTATTCAGTTTGCACTTTGTTTTGCTTACCCAGTTAGTTTTTAATTAATTTAGGCTAGCTATAAACCATTATTTACATTCCACCAAAGTTCAGTCCATGTGACATGCCAATCCCCCAAACAACATTCTGTCTGAACAAGATGTGTGAACAAAAAATGGCTGCCAAAGACTTCCAGCCATTGTTGTCTCAAATGTGACCAACTCTCAGGTTGATCCAAAAATACTCCCACTGCTTGCAGAGAAAGGGAATGTTTCCTCCTGGAAAAGAACAGGAGCCAGGGCAGAGGTTAGGGATGCCTTACCTTACATAATTTTTCAATTCTTCATCTTAGGCAGTGTTTCCCAATATCAGCTACTTTAAGATGTGTGGACATGCTGGCTGGGGAATTCTAGGAGTTGAAGTCCACACATCTTAAAGTAGTCAACATTGGGAAACGCCAATCAAAGCCTTCTGGACATTATATTGTTATTTTAGTAGTCTGTCCTGGCATAATTTAGTCAAGACCTCCTGTCAGATAACATCAGTGAAATAAAATAGTTTTAAATAGCTAAATATTACTTTTGTTTGTAACAGGATTCTCTGCTCACAAGCAGACTTGACTCTGTGTGAAAGGCTGGCTT